CTCAACGATGTGATCTTCAAAGATCCACCCAGGTGGGGTATCCCCCAGATAGCGCCTGCGGTATCCATCGGGGTGGTGGATAGGGTGAGGTCACGTGGTCTCATTATCTGCTCACTCGCTATATGGAAAGATCAGGCTATTATGTAGCCAAAAATGTAGGTTTCGAAAAGCGACGGTAGCTAAATCGTAATAAATGCCTTAAGACTGTTTAAAAACTTGAAAAATCATTAAGTTGCCATTATCAAACAACTCATAAAAAGTCGAAAAATAAAAGATTCGGTGCTATTTTATGCAATAATTATATTAGCTAACCTACTGCAAAATTACAAACGAAAATCGGCTAAAAAAGCCATCTAAAATCGTGTATTTGACTTCATTAGAAAAATTTAATTTTAACTTTCAATTCTGCTACTTATATCTCACAAAATTTTGGCCTCTTAAACTATCTTTTATCAGCAGGTTCTAATATTACTGTAACAAGGACGATCGCGCACCCGAAAAGTGAGGTCACGTGGCAGGGATTCCCCTTTATAGGGGGCGGTCCCTCCCTTCTTCCCCCGGCTACCGTATCTGTCAATGAAATGCACCACGACTAGAGCAAGATCAAACAATCATCTCTATCCCTTTCTCTCTCTCTCTCTCTCTCTCTCTCTCTCTCTCTTTCTCTCTATCACCCAGCTGCCCCATCTCCAGCAGTACCGCCGGCTATTTTGGGGCAGCAAGGTGTCATCCCATCGGTACGCAGGGAGACTGGTTCCACGCTTCTTTGAAAATCAAAACAATTAACAAATGATCAGCGGATGTTTTTCAACTTTTGATTTTGGGGGCAGTTAACGAGAGAAAGAGCGCGAGCGAGAAAGAGAGCGAGAGAGAGAGAGAGCGAGAGAGAGACATCAAAATAAATGGAATAGTGCAATAGAGGTCATCGAAATATCAGATTTCACAAAAATTGCAGAGCGCAAATTCCTAAATTCAGGCCTGTATTCGATTATTTATTTCGAAAACGTAAAAGCGTTTGTTCTTTTCTGGCGGAAACTGGTTCGAAAATTATCGCTGCTAGCATGCGCCGCGTTTTGCTTGCCGCCATGGTATATTCCGTAACGATCTCTGCTAGCTTGCCATGCGAGTTGTTGCAGTGATTCTTGGATTTTAGTGAAGCTAGACTAAATTTTTATATCTAAGATTTTGAACGATTACCTGCTTCACACTTTTTCAAGAATTTTTTCCCTCTTTCTCGTTTTTCATACCATATTCCCTCACTTTTAAGCGTTTCTCATTGAAACCTTAGTGTTGAATAAATTATTATTATTATTATTATTCTGTTAGCTTGTCGTCTCCATTACCTGGGGCTGCTGCTAATCGATCAATTTTTTTAAAGCTTGAAGCTTTACTTGGCTCGTTTCAAGCTTTTTACAACTGTTTGAGTCCAAAATCTCCCTGTCACTATCCCTTTAAAACCGACAACAGCGTATTTTCGATGTTTTGCACACGCTAATCTCAAATTCGTTGGTGTCACGAGGTGGGGGAAACCCCCAGGCGAGTGACTCCCTCTCCCTTCTGTGTGGAGAGAGACAGGTTCTAATCATTCGATGGCCGGGAGGTGGAGGGGAAATTGAGATGATTGATGGGCTACGGTAGACTGGGATGACTTTTAGCATTTGATGCCGCGTGCAGCATGACGACATTCGTGCAGCTTTTGGTAAACAACAGGAAAATTTGGATTGCGTCAGGGTTGAAAGCCTAAACTTTGAATCCCAAAAAAAAGTCGTTGAATTAAAAACCAAAAATGGAATATTGCAGCTAACTTGAATGCTAAAAATTCATTAAGGGGCGGGCAAAGCACGAATATTCGGGTGAACGTCATTACTTCGAAAATCATTACTTCGAAAGTCATTACTTCGAAAGTTTTCGACTTTTCGAAGTAATGACTTTTCGAAGAAATGACTTATCGAAGTAATGACTTTCGAAGTAATGATTTTCGAAGTAATGATTTTCGAAGTAATGACTGGCAGCCGTCACGGAGGGCAGAAAATCTTTGGATCGCGGTTCCATTCACCCATAGAAATGCATTGCATGTCCCTTTAATCACAAATTAAAATTGAAATTAGTTTTAAAGCTAGCAAGCTAGCCGATATCTTTGTGGAAAAGTGAGACTTCCTAGAGAAAATTGGAAATTGTAACTTTGACCTCCCGGGTCACGGTGCTTTCTGCGACAATAATTTCACATCGTAAGCACTTGAACAAGAGATGATAATACTTTAAAGGGGCTAGGAAGCGCGATAATTTCCCATTCGGCGACTAGGTCTCGACAGCGACGCTATGCTGCAAATGACGCAGGCAAATGGCTTTGATAATACCAAATGCAGGTGGAATGAGGCTGCCAAAACCAGCGTCAGCGCGTCATTTTGAATCTCGCGTAGCTGTCGAGACCTAGTCGACGGAGAGGGTCGAATATTAGCAATTGTTCTAAACCCTTTAGAAATCAGAAATGCTGAAAAATTCAAAGCAGCACGGATGAAGCGTGCCCCAAGAATGCTCTACGTTTCTAGCCATTTCATCACGATAATCCATCCAATTGGTCAGAGCATCTTTTGATCACCACTGCCCACCTCGCCATCTCTCGATCAAAACATCGGCCCTGACTTTCTGCGGGTATCCGAGACTTTTTATGGATCGTCGCTCACGTGGTGGTGCTGAAAGAAAGACACTTTTCCCACCTAAAGGATGTCCCTGAAATCCACACCGGAAAGCTCGCAGATTGCAAAATATTTTGCACCATCAGCGCGTGGAGATTCGTAATCGCCGGAAATTTCATCATTGGCAGGGTTAGGAATTGGAAAAATGAAACCTTGAAAAATGGTGGTGCGGTTTCGATGTGTCGAGACCTAGTCAACGTGAAGGGACGATTTTGGCGTTTGCTATTCCTGCTTCAAGGAGCACAGGAGGACCAAAAATTGAGTTGCGCCCCAAGAAGGGGGTACAGTCACTACCCCGAAAAGTCACTACCCCGAAAAGTCACTACCCCGAAAGTCACTACCCCGAAAAGTCACTACCCCGAAATAATTTGCATGATTTTCATAGGAAAACCGCATGAAAACTGGATTTTTCCGGGAAAAACAATGCAATCATTTTTCGGGGTAAACGATTTCGGGGTAGTGACTTTTCGGGGTAATGACCTTTCGGGGTAATGACTTTTCGGGGTAGTGACTTTTCGGGGTAGTGACTTTTCGGGGTAGTGACTTTCGGGGTAGTGACTTTCGGGGTAGTGACTTTTCGGGGTAGTGACCGGACGCCCCGAAGAAGCGTAGCCTTGAACGTGGAAGACCTCGGTTCAGAAGAAGAAGAAGCAGAAGAAGTAGAAGAAGAAGAAGAAGAAGAAGAAGAAGAAGAAAAGTACATAGATTTCTGGCACTGTGCCGTATAGTGTTTTTACTCAACTTGGAGTTTCGAGTCGGGACGAAGCCCAGCTTGGGCAGAATTTTTCGCTGATTCCGAATCCGTCTTTCCCAATTTGCTGCCGACTTTGATTTTAAAGTTTATGCGGTAATTATGATAGGGTTTTTTACCAAAAATGATTGGATTCTGTATAAGCTAGGTTTGGTCCGATTTCGAAATCGCACCCTTCAGCCTGAATTCAGAACCCCTGTTTGAACCGACTGAAACTAGCATTCACAATGGCAAAAATTTGCATAAAGCGGAAGACAAATGTTGAAGACAGCAAACGCGGCCACTTTGCGATCATTCCTACATGATGCCTGCCCGTTATTCGGTGCTTCTGATGGTGGCCCTGCTCACCGCCCACCACCTCGGCTTCTCCGATGCCACCATCTGCCATCTCTGTTCTACTTCCGAACTGCCGGAAGGCGATCGGTTAGTCAAACTGCGCCAAAATCGCTGTCATGGACTGTTAGCGGGGGCGGGGGTAAGGCAAATTTTCCCTGTGATTTTCTACGGCCCTATTTCAAAAGTTATGCCAAGGTCTTATAGCTTTATACATAGTTTTCACATATAAAAATAACAAAAATTTTCGAATTTTTTTGGGGTTCTGCTGAAAATGAAAAATAACCAAAAAAGGACTACATTTTCAAATTTCCCAAATTTTTAAAAATATTTTTTATCACTTTCTAGCAAGTAAAGTATTAGAAACACTGTAAAGATACATTATACAGGGTGCATAAAAAAAACCCTCGGCATCTGGACGTCTTCACTCGGATAGGGGCCCATAACAACTATGTGCAGCACAATTTTCTAACAAAAATATTGTAAAACAAAAAAGTTATCGCTAAAAAAACTGAGTTTCGGAACAGCTGGAACTCATTTTTGGCTATGTTTGCGCAATTAGCAGGCAGATTTTGAGTAATCTGCCAAAAATCGGTCATTTTCGGGTCGGTTTCAACCTGTTAACAAGTGCCCCCCCCCGCTAACAGTCCAGAACCAATATTGCTGCACGTTTCCATTGCAGCAACGATCTCAAACATCGTGGGGCCGCGGTGCCATCGCCCCACCCCGACTGCGGAAACCCCGGCAAGGTTCGCTAAATGTTTATAATTGAATATTTCAAATCACCGTATTTGCTCAAGAATCGTCTCTCAAGAATTGCGTGTAAGTTTCAAAGAAATACCCTGTTTGGGTTTTTTCGGTGATCCTAGGTGGTTTTAAGCAATTTGAACTACTCAAAATCGTTGTATTTGCTCCATTTTTGAACTTTTTCGTACCGGTCCAAAAAAAATCTAAAAAAATTAAAAAATCTAAGTCTAGAAATTTTTTGTATAAGTCTAGAAATTTTGAAATTTTGATAAAAAACGACTTATTTTGGTAGAAAAATGAATACCCTTGATGTTTGATCATAAAAATTTGTAAAGTTTGCACGTTTAGGAATAGTAAAATTTAATTTAGAAACACTGCCACTAATTAGATTTGAAAAATGAGCGCCTAAAAATCGCTTGCACTTCTCGTGGTATTTCGGCGAAACCTCCTTTCGTTATTGGCCTATGTTGCAAATGCAGCCCCTACTTTTTCAGGATGTGCCGACCTGTGAGGAGCCGGGCATGCCGGGCCAATGCATGGCCATGATAGTCAATGAAAACGGCCAGACGATGCTGTTGAGGCTGTGCCCCGGCGGTGGCAAGTTTAAGGCGGTCCACGAGGCTAAAGAAGGAGGTACGTGCTATTGTTACGGTGGTTCTGGACTGTTAGCGGGGGGGGGACAAATTTTCCCTGTGATTCTCTACGGCCCTATAACAAATTATAGACCATTTTTATAGCATTTCACACAGTTTTGAGATATCAAAACACTATAAGCAAATAATGTATGAAGAATGACCAAAAAAACGGGAAAATTTTCGGATTTTCGAAAACTAAAAAAATATTTTTTATAAGTTTCTAGCAATCAAAAACTACTGGAAAAAAAACTATAAGAATAAATGATATAACATCAACAGGTAGGTGGGAAAGGTGGAAAAAACAGAAAGTATTCTCTCCCTCCCCACCCCCCCCCCCCCCGGCTAACAGTCCAGAACGGCTGCAGATGCAAACAGTGTTTTTTTAGCGGAGCTGTGGGCTGCGGTATGCGACACGGATCTGTGCAACAACTGGGATGCAGCCGGGATCAAGGCGAAGGCGTCCACCTCGTCCATCTCGTACCTCATCGCCATCACCATCGTCGTCGCCAAGTTCATCGCCATGCACTAGAAACTATTCCCTCGCATGTGATTTTCTATTTACAATTGAGAATAAAGGGTCGCCAAGTTGCTGGGACAGCCATCAGGAATTTAATCGCTCGGCTTGAAAACTTGCGCAAACCAAAAGTTTTTTGGCGTGATGGGATTGACTTTCTGTCATTTTGTGAAATTGGAGGCGCGTCCCGTGAAATGACAATCGCCGGTTCTTCCGCATTATCGGGGGAGCGGGTTTTTGTATGGTCTAGAAATGCCTAGAAACTGAGTAAAAAGTAGTTTAGCGCTTAGAATATCCTACCTTATATAATTTTGGGGTGGAAATCTGTGTGTGGGTGTGTGTGGCTGTCACTTTCGAGGCCCAATTTGAGGGCCTTCCTGTGCATAAAACGCTTTGATTCTTCTTCACTTGGGGGAATCGACCCTTCTGTTTCCAATGGCGTTTTCAGAATTTCGATAAAATCCAAGTTTACAAAGTTAATGCCCGTTTAATTCATTTTTGTGGGTAATTTCCATAATGTGAAAAAAGAAATTTCCTCATTCTTGCCAGTTGCACTCGCGCGTGTGGTCGGGGTTGGAGGATCCGCAGGACCCAAGCTATCAGAAAGTCAAGCTTGTCACGCAAAGACCGCATTCCAGCGCCCAAGGGCCGCGAAGCGGGTTTTGGGCGCTGGTAACTATATATAGACATGAAAAAATATCTAAACCTTTTCAAAAAGTTCAAATTTGTCGAAAAACCATATTTTTGTATTTTTTGGTTAGAGTTTACTTTACCCCCCCCCCTCCCCCACAGCCGAAGGGTCTCAAAGTTTTCGGTATTTTCGCTTATTTTGTCGGGATTTTTGCAACGCCATGCGTAGAGCGTCGAAAATATACTAGAGTTTTAATTTGAGCCTACATAATGTAAAATAGTTATAGCCAAAACTTCCGGCTGGGGGGTAAGGTAAACCGTAGCCTATTTTTTTGAATGAAAACATATAAAGTTTTTACGCTGAGGAATAGTAAAAAAAGAGCTTAAAAACACCTCCGCTCATTTTAATTGAAAAACGGCTTCCAACAAGACAGTCCCCTCGGCCCCCGATAACGCAAAAGAACCATTTTCAGCTCACCGCAATTTGCATCAAATCAAAGCACCAAATCAAACCCTGCAGTCCTGACTGCAGGGTTTGATTGATTTGATGTTTTGATTAAAAATGTGGTTTGTGCCTTTTCGTCATTTTTCCAAAATGTCAGCCCGGCATCCGGTGCTTCTGCTGGTGGCCCTGCTCGTCGTCCACCACCTCGGCTTCTCCCATGCCACCCTATGCCATATGTGTCTCACCCGGCCCAACACCGAGCACAGCTCTCCACAGCACCAGTAATTCTTTTTTCGCCAGCACAAAATGACTTAATTTTGGAAACGGGATGTGGCTGAACGACTCGTTGTGGGTGAAGTACCATCCGAATTGCGCCCTCCCCGGACGGGTAGGTTTGAAAAATGGAGTTGGTTCTGGTGCGTTAGCGGGGGGGCTCACTTACCCGTTTCTCGGCTTCCATGTGTGCTAGAGAGCTGTTAAATATACTAAAATGCTCGCCAGAGCAAGGCGGACATTTTGGTATACACGTTCTTTTGCGTTAACGGGGGGGGATGATCGAGGAGGCTAGCGGTAAGAGTTTACTTTACCCCCCCCCCACAGCCGAAAGGTCTGAAAGTTGTCGGGATTTTCGCTTATTTTGTCGGGATTTTCGCAACGCCATTCGATAGAGCATCGAATAATATACTATGAGGTTTAATTTGAGCCTACAAATGTAATAAAAGTTATGCCAAAACTTCCGGCTGGGGGTAGTACCGTGCCGGCTAACACTTTTTTCTAAGGTCCCAATTTTTCTAATATAAATCGAAGAATGTTCTTCGCTATTTTTTTTGCTATTCCGAAACCTGAAAACTTTAAAATATATTACTATTAAAAAATATTAAACATTACTAGGCGTTTCGGGAGTTATTTTCGGGCCGGTATGGGAAGGCGTTTTTGCAGGGTGTACCAACCTGTACTCGGCCGGGCTACTGCGTGGCCTTCGTCATCACCCAGGACGGCCAGACGACGCTGGTGAGGTTGTGCAAGAACATGGATTGGGATGGAGGCTACGGAGAGTACGACACCAGTAAGCGCTTGAATTGTTTGCCTAGATCACGGTTACTCGGTTCTTTTGCATTATCGGGGGCAGGACTTTTTCTAAGGAATAGGAACGATTCTAAACCGTAAAAACCTTGCACTTTCAGTCATAAAAAATACCAAAACTCTCGGTAATGCGATAAACCCACCCCCGATAATGCCAAAGAATCCGTTCTTTTAGCAAAGTACTGGGTGACGAAATGCGAAGGCGACCTGTGCAACCACTGGAATGAAGAGGCCGTCAAGGCGAGGGCGTCCACTTCTTCGACTCCGTACCTCAGTGCCATCAAAATAGTCGGCCTCTTCTTGATCACCCTTTATTAAGATAATATCGACTAGCCGTCGGTATTTTATTACATTTCCTTGCCTGTGATTTTCCTATTGACAATTGCGAATAAAGCTTCCAGCAAAATGGTCACAATTTTTTTAAACCGCCGATGGGTGTCCTTGGGTCCCAGCTAACGTTTCAACCATCGTTTCGCAGACGTTGACCACTAGCTTTTAAGCAGCGAAAAATTCTGCCCAGGCAGGGGCGGTTCATTTCGAAACTCCGTTAACTCAGAAACGTGGGCTTGTTAGTATTTTCAATAGCTTTAAAATGCGTTAATTCCTCTGCTATACTCTTTCCGAGTTCAAAGTCCAAAGCACCACCTGCGAATGCTGACGTAATGATCTCTGGCAACGTGGTAGGGCGGTGCGAGGCTCCGTTTTTCGTTGACAACCATCTGGGGGATCTCCCCACACGGGCCGAGGGATATCCCCCCAATAGATATGCCCCGAGGGCATATCTTTCCCAATCCCACCACGTGGGCTGACCTCGATTGCATAGATAGAAAGGGCGTCAACCAGGTGGTCGGGGACGAAAGGGACCGAAAATTATTGCAAAATCGAATGCCGCGACGGTGTGTATGTATAAAAAAACCTTATCTAAATACGGTACGACACATCAATTCGTCGACGAAAGAAAAATTTACCCCCGGTTTGTCAGAGGCATTAATCAGTCAAAAATCGATAATTTATAAATTTCAGCGTCAAAATTGGGATAAATTTATGCCGGACCCAGATATTGCATGGCGTAATCGATCGTCTCGCAGCTCTACAAAACGATTACGGGCAAAAAAATTGTTAAAAGAAGCAAATTCCAGCCGTCAAAAAAAAGAGAAAATTCAAAAGTGGTTGTTTATTAAAACCTAACGTTTTTCTTTGCATAACAGGGCAAATTTTTCGATTCCCTCAACCACCTTGGTGCTGCCGGCCGGTTGAGACATGTGCCATATGATATTGGTTGTTGTAAAACGTGAGTCGAGGGGGAACACCCCACTGGTTGCATCGACTCGCCACCAGCCCATTCGTTCCGAAAGAAATTCCTGAAAAAGCTACACGACTTTATTCTGGACAACATGATGTGCTTATACTTTTGAACCATTTCTCGGAGAAAAAGTCGCTGGAATGAGCCGGATTCCCGTGCTTCAACAAGAAGAAGATGGGTAAGCAAAAAAGGGTGTTTTGAAGGAGGAAAGAAAATGAAAAAAAAGAAAGCAGGACCAGGGAATCGCACCCCATCAATCCTGGCAAGTGTTCATGCTAGCTTCTGCCGCTTCTATAATTTTTCGTAAGGTCTGCTCGTCAAGACGGAGCCCGGAAATATCCCCGACGGCAAGTTGAAAGCCGTTCAAGACACAGTCTTATTACCCAGTCGAAAATTAATCATTTTTCAAGTTCACGAACGAACACTCCAGAGCCCAGACTACACCTCGATCCTCTAGACGCATATGAAATCCCCCAAAATTCCGATCCAGTCCCATTGACACCTGGTTGGGTGGGGGTGGCAGTGGGGGGACCAATTGGCAGTACAGGCCGCGAGAGTGGCGGCTCGAATTACAGGCTTCTCATCTTCGATATAGGCTTCTCTCTATCTCTCTCACGCTCTCTCTCTCCCTCTCTCTTTCTCCCGCTCTACCCAAATTTCTCTATTTGCAGAATGGTTGCCGAATAAACCGTCTTATTGGGGGCTCCAATCGAGTGATCCCATCCGAATAAACGTTGTTAAGACTTTTTGGCTGTAAATGACATTTTATTTTGTAGTTTCTTGGATACAGAACCCTTTAAGTTCACCCAAAAGCTATAACAAAGTTTCAGGGTATCCCGAAAGAAAGCCAGATCAGCTGTCATTTCCAAGAAGTCCTTATTGATGTGTCCGGATCCGGAGAAAAGTAGGTAGTATTATTTCTCTCTCTCTTACTTTCTCTCTCTCGCTCTCTCTCTCTCTCTGTCTCACTCTCTCTCTCGCTCTCTCACTATATCTCAAATGCAGCTAATTTTACAGAAATCCGCTGCTTTTCGGCACCCCCAGGCGACGATGACGCTTCGGAAGTAACAGGGAGCTCGGTAAATACTTTAAAAATGGAAAATCTAATGAAAAAGTTACCAAATTTATTAAAAAAGTACAGTATACATTATTTTTAGTTGGAAGGTCCGTCGACACCAAAAATTCACACTGAACCTGGTACAAAGGTAAGGCTACAACTTTTATTTTCCCAACAATTTCAATTTCTACGATTGTTTTCTTGTATTCCGTCTTTCTTAGCTATTAAATAATACAAATAGCCTGCATACAAACTAATAATTTATACAAATTTGCGCGAGAATTTTTTGCACATTTAATTTCCATAAATCCCACATCCATTTAATTCCCTTTCTTATCCCAAATCCCATAAGCCCTCCCCTTTAGCGGAGTGACGGCTATCGTCATTTGCATCTTGAATGAGGGCCTGTTTTCTATAAGCGATCGACGGGGCAGATCGACAGATTTATCTAGCTGAAGGCTTTTTGGCTTACGCGATCAGATGCTTACTGTCGT